AAAATTAATTTAATAAAAAAATTAATGCAAACTTAAGTGATACAACCGAAAGAATTCGCCTAATTCGTCTAAAACATCGTCTAAAAGTGAAAGATAAATTAATAAATAAGCAATTTAATTAACAACAAAGAATAATAAAAGCATTACAACAACAAAACAGATCGACCATCCGAAAAAGAATCTAAAAAAAAAAGTAAAAAATAATCAAAAATAAACATAATAAAAATAGGTAAGGAAAAAGAAGATTATCCTATCAATGCTTGCCCAAAGAAAAATTTGAAAATATAATCCTTGCGATCTAAAGAGGGCGCAAAATTTTTTTATCATTTGTAAGAATGTTATTTGATGGATAAATTTCCCTTGCGAATCGACAGTTGTCGAACTTGAACTATTTCTTATTAATGGTAAAACCGTGAAAGTTTGACGAGTGGCAAAATCAAAGTGGAGAGCCGCATTTCTGGCGGATCTCCGGAAAATAAGGTAATTTTAATTTTTTTTTTTTTAATTAATTTAAAAAAAATTTTTAAAACTCCATAGATTACGTACGTATTATTAGTGATTGATTCGATAGACAAGCCCGCCGGCTTTTTCTTAAGCAAATTACGCTTCTGGAGTTAAGAGGTGGCTTCACTATGAAAATTTGTCTCCGAAGTTCGGAAGCAGCTTTTACTAAGAAAATGTTAGTAAACAACTTCGGAGGTGACTTTACTAATTTATTCAAATAAAATCAAAATAATTGAAAACTTTATTTGAAATTGATTAAATTTGATTTTGAATTTTTTTTTAAATCAAATTTTTAAATATCAATCAAATTTATTATATTATATTTATTGTCCAAAGAATAGTGGAGGACCTTATACATCTAAGCATTTCAAATGCAATGTCGTTCTGTACTATAGCCTGATCAACGAATGAAATTTGTGGATTTTGTAAATAAAGTAAATATTCATGCTGATTACATGAATTACATATAACTGCCTTTTAGTATAGTCCATATCATTAGTCACAATTTTACGGAAATGATAAATTGGGCTTCACAAAATTTTAATCCTTATATTTTTTAATTAAAATATTTGACAAAAAATAGAATTAAATACATACTCGTAATATAACAAATTATTTGTCTCGTAAAAATTCAGTCACTGGCATAAGGTAATTCTACATTATCCGATTGGGTTTTTTGTCAATTACTCCACCGGTTTATAATAATAATAATTTGATATATTTATATTAATACAATAATTACGAAATAGGTTGTTTATTCTAATTTATCTATAATGTATGTGAAAATATTGTATTTGAAATTGAAAATGCTGATTTTTCAATTGGATTTCCTTTTTTTAACGCGTTGAGTAGAAATGCTTGTCGTTTTAAAAATGTAATATTTGAATATAATTTAAACTGTAGAACAAATACGTAATTGTATCAATAAATTACATTCATTATTTTAATTACGACTCCATTTAAATATTCTTGAGCCATGTAATAAACACATAAAAAATCTTCCAAGTTCTTTAAAAGAGTTATACTGGATTATAGATTTTAATAAATTGAATATATTGGCTTTGTATTAATCAGTTGTCTTGTATTCTTTACTTTTGAAAGTGTTTTAAGTTTTTTTTTATTTTTATCAATAGGAATACAAGACATCGTAATAATACAAGATATTGATAAATAAGAGGAGAATGTGAAAAAGAAAAAAAAACAAAAATGGTTAAAAAGTATGTAGACAAAAAGTATATACACGTCATACACAATAAGATAAGCCTGTTATTCTATACTTCGTTATAGATCTTAGGTTATTCAGAGTTAATATGATAATCACATGCGCTTACGCGCATGTGAAATAAATTTATCAATTTTGATTTTGATTATATAAACAAAACCTCAAAGCTTTTAACTATAAAATCTGTTTGAGGTACCGATGTATTTTATTGGGGGGGGGGGAAGGATTCGATCACTTTATTGTTACGATTAAATGCAAATTCCGGCCGAAATCTTCATAATTTCCCTTGAAGATCGCTCTTGATAAATGCAGTTAGTCCCTTTGACGATCATTTGCCAGTTTGTCAAGACGCCAGTTTGGCTTAATTAATAATCTTTTATAAATACAAGCCGGAAATCCTAAAACAGCTTAATATCCACGCCCCGCCTTTAATATATTCCTTTGACGATCATTCCCTTCGCTATATTCCCTTTGCACCTTCGCGATAATTTCGATTTTCGCCCTTTAAAATTATAATTTCGCATTTTGTAACACAGTTTATTGTTTTATTTTTAATTTCCGATTTTTATTATACAAACTTTATGTAACAGTTTCGTAATTGCGTAGTTTTAATTAATTAGGACTTAGAAATTGGCATTTATTTAATATATTGAAAAAGCGAAGTGTAGAGCGCTGACGTTGAGGCAACACTGACAAAATTTGACATATTATTAAATAAATTCTTGTAATAATTACTTCATTTTTATTCAATAATTACTCAATTAATACCTTCTGCTTACATTACAAATTGTTTATAAATACATAAACGAAAGAACTGAATACAACATTATTAATGATTTCGATTTTTTAATAATAGTTTACCTTATTTTTTTACTCATTAAATCGCTATCAGAAGTATACGGTATATTTTTTTCAGTTTTGTTTTTTAGTTTCGTTGATGGTTTTGATTTTTTTCCTTTTAAGTTATACAACTTCTTTTTACTTTCGGTTGGTCAGTTTAGATCGCTTCAGCATCACTACTGTTCGTAAAGTGATGTTTTATTTTTTATTTTATTTATTGCTTTTATCGTTACGAGTGAGAATTTCGAAAAAAAAAAATAGTAGATTATTAAATATGTCAGTTTTTAGAGGGAACATTAGACTCAGGTTCGAATACAATATCAGACTGACCAAGTTCTCAAGTAGTTAAATTTGAAATGGAGGAAAAGTATTAAGTCCCAAGTATAGTTGCAGGGCAAAACCTAAACCCATTTTGGCAAAAGTCGAAACTTTTCAGAAGTTGTTTTGACAGTTTCGATGGGTTTCGACGGGTTTCGATGGTATTGATGGGTTTCAATAGGTCTCGAAAGTTTCGACGGATCTTGAAAGTTTCGACGGTTTTTATAACAACTTTGCGAATTCTTAAAAAGGACGTGAATATATACTATCTCACATAGACTAATGCATAGATCATTATAAGGGATTAATGTTGATAATGAAATTAATTATTTTTAATGTTTAACATGGGACTAACCGCAATATAAAAATATGGGTATCATTTTTTTAAAAAAAAAAAGAAAATAAATTAAAAATATTCCTTATAAACAATATTTCTAATACAAAATATCCTTAAAGATTAAAAATTTCACATCTGTAACATTATTTTTATTTACCCAATTCCTGGTCCATTTTATCATTATTTTGTAGAGAATGTCAAAAGAAATATGGTAATATTTGGGAATATTTTGTTGGACATCAAGTGATAAGACGAGAGAAGTTTGAATAGGTAGAATGGATATTTTGGAAAAGATTTATTCAACAAATGAGGAAGCGAGTAATTTTATTAACCGTTCGCCCATGAATGATGGATTGATGAATATGGAAGTTCATCAAGAGGAATATCATTTAATAGAAACTATGCTTCGTAGGCATACTTACGAAAATTTTTTATACGTATAGTTATGACTCCGTCATTTGTTAAACAAATTTTGTTATATATTTCATGGTAACACCTAAATCTATTATTCTTCATCTTCCTATTGGTGGATTGCGTTGATGACAAATATTATACACGACGAAGAGAAGAAATCGTTAAAACTCCTTTTGATGAATCGACCACTCCCGACAGGCTGATCCGTTGACACCGATAGAAGTATTATGGACCACATTTCTAATTAAACCCAACTCATAAAAACAAAATAAATTTTTAAAATTAAACCATCCATTAAAACTTTCGCAATTTTTCCTTTAATAAAAAAATTTGGCAAAACGTTTCGATGGGTTTCGATTTCGATGCCTGTCGAAATCTCGGGGTTGTTCCCGGCAACCTTAGTCCCAAGCCTGTCATATATATTATAAAAGTTCGATTTTTTTTATTCGATTAATTGATTCTAATTCAATTTTATTTATTCGACAAGGAGGATACCAGAAATAAAAACAATTGAGGGTTGGATTACAAGATATTTTGTAAGCTTACGCAAAGAATCAGTAGAATGAAGAATAATAAGTGAAACTAATAAAAGAACTGAATAGGAAGGTAATAATAATGGTAAAAATAGTCACAAGCAGCAGAAAAGATAATGTTTTTATAACATGAATCGATTACGTTGACTAGTTTAATATGATAACAACTTCTGTTAATTAACGAATTTGAGGTTCACCTAGGTAAGGATGTACAGTACATAAAATATGAAATGTATAGTTTGGTGTTATTAACTGAAATTATAATTGAATGTACACTTTATTATAAAAATGATTTCAATTTCAGTCACCTATTTATTTGATTTATAATAAACAACTGATCATCCCGAGCCTGGAGATATTAGTAACTCTAAATAATTAAAGTGGATCAGATATGATGTCACAAAAATAAAGCTTTCGCAAGTCCATCAGATATTTTCTGGGTTTTCTCACCAGAATCAATCTCTTTGAATAATCTATCAAAAGTCTCTTCGCCAACTGAAATCGCAAAAATTATATGAGTAACAATAAAAATATTTCGAACAATTACATTCGATAATATGAAATAAAATAGTTACTGGTTTGATCAATGGATTATTGTCAGAATTCGGGGAGAACTAGTGGATAAACGTATATATTTGATGGTCAATGTCTATGGGAAACCGTTTATGTTTAATCGAATATGTATCGATAAAACAAACACTTAGAACCGTAATGAAACTAAAATCATTTTTGTTTTTTTCCATTAGTAAATTTCGATATTTAATAGCTTGGTCATTGACGTTCTATCTATTTTTCGCGATTTTGCATCGGACCTAATCCACTTCTTTTTGTTTCAACCGCTACGAGAATCATTATTGTCTGCAAAAATCAAATCTCCTTTGTGCTCCCCAATTCTATATTCAAAATCGTATAAATACTCGAATCCCGGTAGCCATTTATCATTAATTCCTTGATTAATTTAATTTATCTTGCAATATCGCCTCTTGTCTTGCATGTTTGTCTTTCAGATACTTTGGAAATTCAACGTGCTAATTTATTCATTGTGAAGAGTTTGCAGGTTCAACCTGTTTATATCGGGATAGTAACTTTGCAAAAATAGATAAATTATAATAAATGTGTCGTGAAGGTTCTTTGAATCCCATTTGTAAAATTTCGCGGTCATTGCAAAGATACATCGGTAAAACAAATGTTTCTCGTTGCCTGGTTCCTTTTAAAATTGAGTTACGTTCTGACTATCTTGGACGAATCGTAAATTTTTTTTGCATTTCTTTAAAGTCCTTTCCACATTCTGCATTTCTGAAATGTCAAATTCTTCACCTATTGGTAATATTATCTTGAACGTTATAGTTAAAAAACGGTAATGTTTATAGTAAAATACAAAACCTGTAGTACCGTAACGTCTTTTAATTGGTGACATGTATGCATCGTTTACATGATTTTTCTTTCATTTATCTGAATATTCGAATTTCATAATGCAATTCTGAGCTTGCACAACTTATTAATGTGACCAACGCAAATCTGCAGGTTTCAAACGAACTAACCGATATTTAACAATTATACAGACAGTAAATTGTTAGAAACTGTCGTTAAGTCGAAAGTAATCTTAATTAAAAAAATGTCATCTTTATGCAATTGTAAAATTAATAAGTATTAACTTAATATTGAGTAGATGATTAAAATAGATATTTTGTTTTACTAAATATATATATATTCATTTACATACTTAAAACTAAATATTTAATATTTTATTTTAATATTAAAATATATATATATATAAGAATTTATAAATTGAAGTTATAAAATTTACTATTTTTTTCAAATATAAATAAGTTTTTTAAAATTATTTATTAGTATTTTCTATTAAAGTTTTATCATTTATATAAATATAAATCTGTTGGTTTAATATATTTAAATAATTTTATGTCAGAAATTTTTAAATATTAATTTATATTAGGTTGCAAAAGTTTTTTATATTTTATAGCAACCATTATATCAAAATTTACATTAATATAAATTTATACAAATTGTATAGATTAATATAAGTTTTGCATAGATTATATTTATTAAAAAAATATTCAGATGTAAATAATGGTATCCTGACGTTTCGCCGAATCTGTTTCGCCGAAACCCACTTTGCCGAAGCTAATTCACCGAAAGGACTCTTCGCCGAACAACGACTTCGCCGAATGGACTTTTCACCGAAAGACGTTTTCGCCGAAAGGAGACTTCGCCGAAATGCCGTTTTGCTGAATGACGTTTTGCCGAATCCTTTTTGCCGAACGGACCCATCGCCGAATCCGTTTCACCGAAAGGACATTTCGCCGAAAATGACTACTGCGTAACATTTGTTTAATTTATCATTTTTAGGTACTACATTATAAAGTAAGTTTTTTCTTAATAATTTCGTTGGAAATAATAAAAAAAGTTCGTTTTCGGCGAAATGTCTTTTCGGTGAAACGGATTCGGCGATGGGTCCATTCGGCAAAAAGGATTCGGCAAAACGTCTTTTCGGCGAAGCGTCCTCTCGGTGAAATGTTCATTCGGCGAAACTTCTTTCCGGTGAAAAGTTCATTCGGCGAAATGGACATTCGGCGAAGTGGCCGTTCGGCAAAATATTCTTTCGGTGAATTAGCTTCGGCAAAGGGGGTTTCGGCGGAACGGGTTTCGGCGAAACAAATCGTAACCGTAAATAATAGATCTGTTGGTATTAGACTTTAAATTTTTTTTATATTATCTATATATAAATCTTATTATTATTTTAATAATATTAGAGAAAGTAAAGTGATAATAAATATATATTTTACTAATTATAAAGCAACTTTTAATCCCTACAAAATAAAAAAGACCACCAAATAATATTGACGCATCAAGGTAATGTCTTTGAATTTTAGCATAAGTCTATCCTTTTAAATAGTCACGTTGAGATATTACTGAAAAATTGTTAACTAATACTCACTTGCTAGGAAAAGAAAATTTAATTAAGAAATATTAAATATGATTTAATTGAAATTATTGTGACTACTGAATTACGCACGCTATACTATTCAAGCGGATACGATCTAAAATAAATAAGGAGGATTATATTTATTGTTCATAATTAAATTTATTGTTAAAAATTTGAGTAAAGTACATTAATTATCGATTCTTCAATCCTATCACTGAATTAAACTCTTCAACGATAAGTAACGAAAAACAGATCATAAAAGATCACAGCTTAAAGCAAAAAGTAAGTGAATATTTATTTGGAATTAGACCAGTCAAAAATATGATAAAATAATAAAAAATACAAAATAAAAATACAATAGAAGAAAATAATTTAAAATAATAAGGAATTACAGGAATCAAATAATAAGTAATAATACAAGAAATAAAAAAGAAATTACAACTACATTTTTTTTAAATTAAATTGATCTTTTGCTTTTGTTTTTCAAAAAGATCATTGCATAAATCTTTTACGTTTGTCAAGATTATACCTTGCTCCCGTTCGGTTTTCTTTGCTTCAGATGTATATCAGAAGGCGCCACACAATACCAATATTACCACAATTTTCACGTTTGGAGAGCACCCTTGCAAGCTCGTTCACAATATTACGACCTAATTGAGTTTCAAGGTCGATTAATTGCGTTTCATTTTTCGATAATACATGTACTTTCGATACGATATTTGCCCAATTCTTGCATTGGATTGCAAATTTGTGACTTGCAGCCTCTCCAGAGATATCGATCCCACCATCTCCAGGCCCACTAAAAAATAATAATATAAAAAAAATGAGTACTTGCGCCATTATCATCGAAATTCAGCAGAAAAATATCGGAAATAGGGAAGAAAGTTCACGGTTGAAACCATGGCCACGAAGAGCTTTCGATTCCCTATTTTACACAAAGTGGCAGCGCACAACGACTCGACAAATAGTTCAGTGAGATACTCACCCAATTTTTATTATTTTTGACGCCTACAGCATCCAATCTATCGGCAGTTTTGTCTTCTAGTTCCTTTCCTTTTTCGAAATTGTTCATTGTATTTGTTATGGTTAACAAATAGAAATGTGTAGAGATTTTTTATTTTACGACTAGTAGAATCCGAGTCGAACAATGATCGAGTTCAAGTTTCTGTAATTATTAACAGGTTTGAGTTCGAATATGCCTTAAACTCGACCTGACCCGACCTTTACGGAGCACTAGTTATGATGTTGATAGACATTTTTCGTGTTGAATGTAGAAGGGATCTATCAATACTAATGCTCCATTTAGAGATTTAAAAATGAACTGTGATAAAAATTTAAAGTTTAATTTATGTAAAAAAATCAAAATAAATTACAATTATTACAATTATAATCATTAAACATACATTTTAAATTTGGAAGTATGATAGTGCAAACCAACACAACAATTACGAGAATATTTATGAGGGAATTCCATCTCGTTGAGCAAATTAACGTGCTCATCTCGTAATTGTCTCATTGTCATTACGTCACCAGCATTTCGACAGGATGTGGTTCGACCCGCCGTGGTGGTTCTTCTTCTTCGTCGCGCAGCTTAGGGAGCAGGAACAGCATCGGATCATCTGCTGGTGAGGAAGGAAGGGAAGGGAGGGAGAATTAAAATTGTTTTTTTTTTAATCAACTTGATGTAAAATAATAATCCATAAATGTTAAAAGAAAAAAACCATTTCACTCTTTACTTTTTCACTCAAAAAACGAAAATATACTTTAGAAATTTCCAAAACTTTATCTTTTTACTTTTTTTATTTAAAATACTTTTTTTATTAATTTGAGTGAAAGTAAAGAGAGAAAAGGTTTTGAAATTTCTCATGGGGATCCTTTTTTTAATAAAATCGAATTTTTTAGAATAAACCATTACGTGTCATATCGGCAACATCTATTACTCTAACAATCGAACTTTCTGGAATATTTTATAATAGTCATATCGACATCTATTAATTTTTTATCTAACAAAAAAAAAAAAAAAAAAAGGATTCTTAGCAACGCAACGCTCCTACCAAAATGTCCTGGTTTCAAAAGAATTTTGACATTACCACAGTATTTTAACATAAGATTTATGGCGTGGCGTATCAATTTTCTTGAATACCAGCCTATTTTCAGTTTTTTTTTGAATTCGTTAGTGCAATAACGATTCGATAATTCTTTTACTCTAAATTTTGGTTTTTTTTATGATTTTTTGGAAGAAAAGGTAATTTCAATTGGTTTTTTTTTAATCATTCTTTTTTTGGGTTCGAATGATTAATTAAAATAGGCAAATATTTTCTCATTGTTTTTTTTTTCTTTCTTTTTCTTATAAGATCCTTTCGGGTTCGATTATTTCCATTGTGTCTATCGATTGATTTATAGTAGATTTTCTCATTTATGGTATTATTTTCTACTTTTGCTTCAGCCTGTGGTATTTCTTTTTTCTCTTTATTTTCGGATAAGTTTATTTTCTTCAGGCACGTTGCGATCGATCATTTTCATCTATCCGCCCTTTAGCTTGATTGAATATTTTTCTATAGGCACTTCTTTCGGTTTAATTTGATTCTGGAAGTAGATAAGGCAATTTCTTTAATTATCTTAACTTGTATTTTATTTTATGGGTTTAATCGCTTCGAGATGAAGCGATCGAATAATACTTGACATCAGGGTGGTGGTGGATGTTAAATTACGCATCAGGACTCCCTACCACATTTATTGTGCCACTAAAATTGATATGATTTTTTAATTCGATTTTCGATTTTGGTAGAAATAGTTCCAATTCCTATTTAAAGATATCATATGTTATCAGGGTTAATTAAGTCAACAAAACGAGAAACAAGAAAAGAGTATAAATAATTATAAAGTTGACAATTTCTTTTGGCCTTGCACTTGTACGATTAGCCATGCTAATAAAGAATCGTTATTGGAACTCATCATTATAATAAACGATTATTTCGAACTGCAACCAGAAATTCCATAAGGTACGTCGTTAATGATTCTTTTAAAATTTATCAATCAATTATCGCATTGTAATTATTTTAACATCAATTTTTACGGTTATCGGTCTCATAAACATGGGAATCGCTAATACTTCTTTCGTAATGATGATAGAACAGCGGATCAATACGTGTTAAAAGATTGGAATCAATATAATTATAAGATGAATTGATTATGAGATATGATGCAAGAGTAGTACCAATACTAATATTGCAGAAGAGATTCACGCTATGGTTAATTAAAAAGGAAAATAATTAAGTTTATTAGCAGCAATTTTAAGGTTAGTTAGTTTCAGTTTCATTAAAACTTTCTTAAATTGTAAGTTTAATATTATAAATTCGTAAATAATTTTTGTAATTAAATAATTTAAATTTAATTTTAATAGAGGAAAAAGATATAATAAATGATGTTATAAGACAATTGATATTTATAATAAAACAGGAGTCTCTCGTATTCATTAAGATAAAAGTAAAGTTAAGAGAATGTAAATATTAATAAAGCAAAAGATAAGTAAAATTATGTATATAATTTTATTATATTAAAAATTCTAATATTTTTTCAATAATATAGAATCTAATATTTGAAAATACAGTATTAATTTGACAAATAATAAATCATTATTAAAGAAAAAAGCTCTCTTCTATTTTTAACAAAATCAAAACTAAGAAAAATCAAGAAGATTTTGCATTAGAAAATGGAAAAATAATATTATCTAAGATTGATTATAGAAAGTTG